CTGCTACTCTTTCTCGACAACGAAATTATACGCTTATAATATTTGCTTACAATTGTGACAGCTGTCAACTATCATTGGGGGGAAAAATGACAGCACAGATTGGCTCAATTTCGTGCAAGGTTTTGCTTGGCAAAGCAATAAACAAGAGATCGGTTAACATTCATTCCAATACTTGAAAAGCTCATTGATGTGGAAAAACTGTTGTTCCCATATAATATAATTAGGGGAATACATACACATTGATCCGTTGGTTCTATTATGCCCTCTTAAGAGCTTTTAGGTATGCACTGTCAATTGCTAAGGTCACTTGATTTTAATTTTTTGTTTAAGATCGTTGGGGGCAAACCCGTGCGAGACCCCTGGAATTACCCATGCACATGCACAGATCTAGTGGCTCTTCTCTAAACCAATTTGATCTTTGTTTGCAGCTACTTCTTCCACATTGTGCGTGCCGGCTTTAATCCCAGCCTGCAGCCGATGCAGTTCTACTTTGAGTTCGTCTGGCTGATGGGCGGCGTCACGCTGCTGGTGCTCTACTTGTACGGCACACTGCTCAGCGAGAATGTGTTTGGTGGCATCTATGGCGTCCTCTCATATCTGATGTTCCATAGCTTTGCAGCGAAGATCTACGAACGGCCGCTGGCGCGTGAAAATTTTGCATTTCCCTTTATATTTTTGCAAATGTTTTATTTGTGCATATGCATTGGCCGTGTGCTGCACCGGCAGAAGCACACCTCGCGAATCTTTATGGTAAATAATTGTGGCTGCAAACAAGTTTTTACAATTGAATATAATCATAAATCTCTTAGGTCTGTGTAATGTCCCTGTTTACGGCGTGTGCGCTACTCTCGTGGCAGTTCTCCAACTTTATATTCACAACACAAATTATGATTGTGATGACCTCGTGGAACGTTAGCTCGATGCCAGTTGGTCTGGCGAATGCGTTTGCATTGGACTACTCGCTCTCACATTTGCTGGGCAATTGCCTGGCCTTTGTGATCTCGCACGGCAACACCCAACTGCTCTTCACCTGGCAGTTGAGCGTTGCCCTCAGCCTGTTCCTAATAACGATCGTGCGGCAGTTACGGAACCGTCGCTGCACGAACAATGTGCTGCAAGGCGACTATTTCTCATTTAAGTTAATATTGCTGGCACTGCTGTTCGCCAGCAGCATGCAGGGTAAACTGGTGGACTTGCTGAGCAAGTCAGGTCTACTTAACTGGCAGGACAATACGTATATGCACTATTGTGATCTGTGGGCCCACTGGATGCTGCAGGCCAAGGTGAACTTTGTGACCAATCTGTCTGCTTGCAATCCGCTGTATGCCCGCGTCGCCTGGTCGGAGCTGTGGCAGCTGGTCAAGACGTTGATTGTCAAGCCGTATTGCATGTACGGAGTTGTAATGCTGGCCACGTTCTTTCGTAAATGGCGCAAAAGCAATGTTATCACAAAGGCCAACCAGGAGCAGCGCGAACGCGCCCGCAACTATGTTCTGGAGGATTTTCTGGAAGAGCACCATGTGTCCATGAGCGATATGTCGAACAAACAAACGGAGCAACAGTTACAGCAATGCTTTGCTATGCTCGAGAGCTGTGACCACGACTACGAGCGCTATAAGCGCGAAAAAGCCAAAATGCAGCAAGAGCAGCCGCCGGAGCGCGATGACTTTATGCAGGACATTAAGCGCCTCAAGGCACAGATACATCGCAATAGTGACAAACAGCGCAAGGAACGCGAACAGGCTAGCGAATCCAATCTCAAAGAGACGTCTTCAATCGAAAGTGAATGTACGGCAGAAGCTGACACTGAAACGCAAGCACAAACGGCGACTGCAAAGGAAACTCAAAATGAAACCGAAACTGACGAAACGCAGCCGTGCAAAACGCCCTCCGACAAGGAGCCAGCCAACGGCAGACGCCGTCCAGCAACATCAGCGCGTCGCGACTCGGTTATACCCACGGCCAACGCTCAGATACTGAATCTGCATTATATGTACAGCTTCATGCAGATGATTGTTTTCACCCTAATTGGTCTGACGGTGCGTAAGCTATTCTTTCTTAGCTTCACTCAGGGCTGTGTGATAGCGCCGACGGTATGCTCGAAGATCTGGTACCATCGTCAACGCAACATCTTTTGGTCCGTTTCGCTAGCCGTCTTTTTGCTCAGCATGTTTGATCCCGGCATGGTGGTCAGTATAGAATTAGTTGGCCATTTGTTTACTTAACTATATTTCATAATATTTGCAGAACATACGTGAGGAATACTTTCCCACACGCTATACACAATCATCGGATGATCTGGAAAGCATGCTGGAGTGGATTAAATTAAATACAGAACGCGATGCGGTGTTTGCCGGTCCCGTTGAGATCATTGGCACCGTCCACTTAACAACCAAGCGGCCGATAGTTAATCATGCGCACCTCGAAATGCGTCAAATGGCGTAAGTCTCTAGCACTTATCAACAAAACCTAATCACAATAAAAATAAACACAAACCACTTTACAGTGAGCGCACGGAGCATGTCTACTCAGTGTACAGTCGCCAGCAATCGTCTGATATATACAATCAGTGCACACAATTGAAAATCCAATATTTAATCATATCTTTAGACGAGTGCAGCAACGAAGTGCGGTAAGAGCCATACCATTGACTATTATCTGAATGTATTATCTAATGCTTCATATATATATGTATATACGTATTTTTATCTATGTATGTATTAAACACTTGCAGGGACGACTGCGACATATTGTCAATTTGGGATGATAAGCAGCCAGCGTTTCGGAAGTATCCGCAATTTTGTCACGAGCTTTTGCATAAGAATGTGCCTAGCTTCTTAAAGGTGTACGCGAACGATAACTATGGCATCATTAAGATGTTCTCCCAAAGTGTGCAGATCAATTTGAAGCACAACAAAATGCCCGAAATGTCTATGTGAGACAGACAACAGGCCCACAAGCATATGTATGTAACTAAGGGCTAAAGGCACATGTGACTAGAATATTTTACAAGTATGATGAAATGTATTAGTGTTTAGTAGTGGGCGAGTAGGCGTACGCAAACACAGACACAGACCCTATAATTGAGATGTTGACACCAAAAACCAGCTAAAACTAAACAAATTCTTTTAAAAAATATATATACATAAATATATTTGAAACAGAATAAGAACACACACATACATATACATGTATGTATTTACCTAAACGCATTGCTTTCAAGAGGCATATGAATTTTGTTTTGTTTTAGATTTCATTTGGAAATGCATTCCCACTCCATATAAATAGAATGTATGTATGTGTGTACGGTTTAAGTTAAGTCTAGCTACGGATCCGACTAACTACTTTGCGAGTGTAGAACTTTAGGTGCTTCACTCATTTTGTGCATTAAGTTTAAGCTAAGCTTTTTACATATTAACTAATCACTAATCACACTGAGACACAGACAATCCGTTCGGCCATAGCCAATGGTTGTCAATATGTATGTATATGTATGCATTTTGTCCCGAATAAATGAGAATGATGACCTCCCAGAGTATAAATTATTTAAAAGCTATTGAAATAAAGTTGAACAAACAATTAATTTTGTTATTTTCTTTGGGAATAATAACTCCGCCACAACTGAGTTCTGGCTTACTAATAAATTGAAATTAAATTAAAATTACAAAATAAAATAAGATGACTTGATTCGAAGCAAGCGACTAACCGGCTTTAAACCGAATCAATTAGAAATTCAGAATTTCAATTATTTTGAACCGAATCATCTTTTTCAAAATGGTTTTTTAAAAAAAATTGTCAGAGGCAGACACAGCCCCAAAGTATAAATGACTTTGGCCCCAACCATATTGGCTAAATGCCAAGTTTGGATGGGAATCAAATGTAGTCCACAAAATCAATATGAAAATATTTACAGTCTGCAATATTTTCAGCAGAACGGACAAATATATAATAAAAATTTTTTTGTTTTATAACAAGAACCGCATCAAAAGGCAGACATTTCGATGTGAAATCTTGAACCGAACCAACTACTCTTTCTGGCTTTACATCTGTGGAACCCCAAGTTCATAAGCTGAATACCAGGAAGAGGCATTGATGTGAACCGTGAACCGAACCAGCAACTATTTTTCGATTTGTAGCCCTGTCTCGAACCCAAAACTGGCCTGAGATGAGGCATTAATGTGAACCGTGAACCGAACCGGCCATTAAATAAATACGCATTTGGCGTTGGTTTACTTCATGTAAACTTAATTTTATTTCTTTACTTTTATGCGCGCGTGTATGTGTGTGTGTGTGTGTCTGCTTGTGAGTATTTGTTGTTATTCTTTCATTTGCTTTTTATGGAAATCGTTGTTGTTTTTATAAATAATTCACGATTCATTTACAAAAAGCATTAGAGCTTTGAAGTTATTTGAATTCTAAACTCTTAAATGCGGCTATATGTACATTATTACGTACTATATCCACAGATTTTTTGTTACGATTAAAGAGCAGTGACTTCTTCCGGCGGACTGGGTAGAGATTTAGCGTATTCAGAACGATTCAGAATGAACTTGAAGCAATAACAACTTATGCGTAAGTAGTTCAAGGCTTAAGCGTGCCTCTATATAAGTGTTTAAGTTAATCCTTTCTCATAAAAAGAAAGGAGTTAGTTAAGTGTGTGCATTAAGAAATGGCATCGATTCCATAGCGTATTCTTTGATTGCTTTTTTTTTGTTTTTTTGTTTTTTTTTTGTTTTTGTCATTTAGTTATTAGTTTAGCTGAAAGGCGAGCAGGTTAGCTAATATATCGTAAAATATAATAGAAAATAATCTCCGAATAGTTTAAAGCATAGCAATCTGGCCAAATGTCTTAACAGTTAGCTACAGTCTTTCTTAATTTATATAATATACATAACATTGTATATTCATATATAAACATTATCTATATATATGTATATATATATATATACTATATATAGTATTTATACAATCAATTAGAATAGTTCTCAGTTGTGTGCTAGTTTCGAAATCTCATTTGGTTTATATTGTATGCATTCAACTGAACGTGTCTCTATAAGTAATATCATAACAATTTCATTGTTTTTAGGCTGTTTTTTATTTATTTATTTATTTTTTATTTTTTTTTTTTAATTTTTGTGGAAGCAGTTTTGAATTATTTGTATTTCAGCTACTTTAACTAGACAGCTTATATGTATATAATACATGTTTATACACACGTTTTAGTTTCCTGTTGCCCCAAAATCAAACTAAAGCACAAGGCATTTTGAAAATATGTTAAAAAACTTGTTTCTAACAATCATTAATGTTTCAATCATAGCGTTCATACAGGACTTCTTATACACTAATGTACACTGTACATATGTATAGGTATCTTTTTGGTGCGCGCTACAGTGCAAAATATTTGCTCAATTATAAAATTCATTCACAGTTGTTTAGTTTTTATTTATTTGCATTGATTTTTGATTATCTGACTTGAGGAAATCATAGTTATATTAACGGATCTGGAGACTGCATTCAATTAATTCATTTAGTTGTTCATCCGTGTTATCAGCTATTCAAAACTCTTAAAAGTTTTCTAAATTCTTTCTGGTTATTTTGAAAAAAAAAAATATTCAAAATAATTATTTTCAGCAAATATGTGATGCACGTATGCTTTGTTTTAATTAACAATAATTCGCTACTTAACTAAAATACACAAGAGTTTGTTTGTGGTTTCTTTTTTTTTGTGCATGAGTTTTCCATTTGATTTTGCTATTTACGAGTATTAATAAATCTTTATAATGTCCTTCAATTGAATTTGTATCACAGCAATATATTTGTTATTTTATTATGTAAAATACACATGATTATAAGAAATGTGTCTGTGCGTGTCTCCGTGTGTGTGTGTGTGTGTGTATCCGATGTTCATGTGTGTGTTTGACAAAAATATGAGCACAAAATGTTGAACATTTCTCTAAACTTATTTCAAAAATTCAAATTGTTAACATCTTTAATCACGATAAGCTACAAAGTAAGCGCTAGTCTGTTATGGAAAATCTCGAAAGAATTTGGAAAAATTGGAACACAGCAATAATTGTTAGGCTCTCAGTACTTCATGAAGCTTACACTTTAGCAGAACGCTTTAACAGTTCACAAAAGAAAGTGTAAATAGCAATTACATAGATAGTAAATAGATTGGAATGCGTTTGTCTTAAAGCGCTCTTGAAGCGAATAGCGTTTATTTTATAAAAATTGGTGTCTTCGTGTCGAATGGCAAATGAAACCGAAGGAAATGATTTGCCTATTGCACAAACATAATAAGCTCTACAGAGTATTGTACAAACGTATGCATGTATATTTGGTTAAACCGTAGCCACAATTCAACAACCTAAATAGATCTGTATAGGCGTAGCCATAAAATTGCACTTTGTACTTTCAAATACGTTTGATGGTGGGACCTGTAAAGAATACCGAAACTTTGCGCTTGAACTTTTCCATTGTCGGCTCCAGATCCTCCTCCTCCTCGTAATCATCATCGTCGTCATCGTCTTCATCATCAACAACATTATGGGTATATTGCTGTCCCGTGTGGCCAAAAAGAATGTGGCGCGTAAACGGCTGCACGTTCTTAGCTCCGTCGGATTCACTGAAACCGGGATTAAGTATTATATTCGGTATAAGCTCAATGCTGTCCCAACCATCTTGGAGATCTACACAGGCCGCATAGCATGACATACAGTTGGGATAGATATCAGATCAGAAAGAAACAGAGTAAGAGTGAATAGGAAAAGGATAGATAGATAGATAGATAGATAGAGAGATATAGAAATTTGGGAAGGGAATTCAGATAAATAGAGAGAGAGTAGAACGAAAAAACAGCATTAGGCATCATTTGATAACAATTACATTACCTCTGGTATTGATTATATTTTAATTGTGTTTTTTGTTTGTTTTTCTTTAAAAATATATTTAATTATGTGTGTGTGTGTGTGTGCGTGTGTGTATGTATTGAAAAGCGAGCAACGCGGCGTATGCGTAATTTGTATACTTGTATATTGTGTCTATATTCAAATCAAGGCTTAAATCTGAGTGAGTATCTCAGTGTGTGTGTGTGTGTGTGTGTGTGTGCGTGTGTGCAATTTTAAACACATACATAACATATGTATCTAACAATAAGCACATAACTCAAAACAATACAAGACTATAGAATATTCGGATAAATGTATTTGTCTTTCTTCATAAGGATTGAAACATTTAATTTGCGTGCCATAACAAAAGCACATAAAATGGAATTAAATTACTACTTATGTAAATATATATGAATATATATGTACTATATAATTGATTACATTCAGTTTACAACATCAATAAACGCTATGTTTAGCTAACATTTGATTATCGGTTACACATTTAAATTCATTTGAAATTCAACAACAAAACACGACAACAACAAAGCAGAAAAGCATAAATCATATAATGTCACCTTCATCTTATCACACCCCAGTTTCCTAAGTATATTACAATATTGATTATTTTCATATATTTTTCATTTCATTTGTTCGTTTACTTTTGGTCACGATTTAAAGTTTTTATATATATTTTAATCATATATTTTCTCATTGATTTTTTCTGCACTTGCTTTAAAATCCTATGCTAAAAGTCGTTTAGTGCACAATACTCTAGAGTTCTACTTAGAATTACTTAGTGCGCATTAAGAGTGTGTATAAGCTATCACAGATGTGCCTAAAAGTTTGGTCGCTTTAATATTGAGGTTCTTGCTAAGAGACGGCATTAGATTAATCTTCATCCACATTGGAAAACAGTTTTTGGAAGTATACATAAGTATATATCATATTTTTTATCCTATGTTATAGATTATCTAATAACAAAGCACGAATCTAAATACAATTCGTTGGAAAAGTTAAATTTTTATTTTATTTTTCTTCTAGCGAAACTATAAAAGCTGATAAAAGAGTTCAATTGGAATTTGATTATTAACCTCTTGTCAACTGCTAAAATCGCTTTATATTTAACATTTAGTTTCTCTATTGCAATGCGATTTTAACATCTGCCTGTGAAATATTTAACAGCTAACTTAGACAGTTGTGAATTAAATATGAAGCTAAGTTTAACTCAAAAGCCGCGCATAAGCAAAACATATTCAAATTTTTTTATAGTTCGCTATATACCCTAAATTATATACTTTTGATATATATATGTATTCAGCTACCCTACAATATATGTATGTTTGTAAGAATAGTAGGCAAAATAGAAATCTTTGATTATCAATCATGTCCATTCGCTTTTTATGTACACACATTTTATTCGAATGGACAAATATTTTGTTAAGTGATCAAGTGCTTTGCATTAAATGATATTTTATATAAGTAGCTGCTAAGTTTATGAAAAACATCTGTCACTTGGCATGGCTTTAATTGAGTAGTGTTCTTCTTTTCATTAATGCATATATATATGGTATATATATTGTTTTTTGAATAAACATCAATCGAACCACACACTAAAAAGGCGAACACATTATCTACATTTAAACACCAACAACGACAATAACAGTATGCATATCTTATTAAGAAAGTAAAAGAAAAATGATAATAATAAAAAACAGCGGGCAAACAAAACAAATATGCATTAACGAAAAAAGTCCCAAAATGGACCCCACGCGCTATATGCATATAACATTTTTCTGAATTTTTATACAATTTGATAGATTTACACATTGAACTGGACTGTGCTGTACAGTGTATGGGGCCCATTAAAAAGCATTCGATATTTATTAATCTCGAACATTTACAACACTGGCAATCAATGACAATGACAAGCATCATGTGCGTTGCAACAAGTTGCATTCGAATCGGCAGTTGCAGTTGCAGTTGCAGTTGCATTTCGTTTCTTGGCTAAATTACTAGCAACAATAACAAGAACATTATCTAATATCCAAATCATAATTCCTTCAAATAAGTATGTACGTATGCATGTATGTAATTATGTATGTACATAGTATGTGAACAATAAATGTGTTTAATTGTTTGCTGTTCGTAATTATGATTTGGAATTTGTTATTGTTATTGTTGTTGGTGAATTTTCTGTACCCATTTGCGTTGATTGATAGCACTCCTTAGAGAGCACAATACAGAGTCCAATGGCTAATATCACAAGTGTTCCCAGCACTATACTGACGGCGACTATCCAAATGCGTGGATCAAAATTATCTAAGTCGGGTTTTATAAGGCGTATGAGATCTGGACGGTCGTCGAGCATTTTGTAGATAGATAAGAAAAAGAGAGATGACAACAAAATTACCAGATACATGGATACTTAACCAATAAGAAATCATATATGTTGTTCTATGTTGTAATAATACGACAAGTTAAGTTACACAAAGCTAAGGTCACGCCATGCAGGATATGCCTCTCACTGTGCATATGATGGCAACCCTGCGCTGCGTACAGTTGACAATAAATATACATACATATATTATATATCAAGATCAATTTCTACACATAGATGGTACGATAGATGTGGCTTAGATACGACAGCAAGAAAACTATCGAATGTTTTACCTAGCTATAGCTATGATAATCAGATTTAACACTAGTCCCGGCCCAATCGGGAATTGGGAATTGTGACTGGCATGATTTATAATTGTCTGCTTACCCTCCTCCTTGGTCTCTGGCAATGTTGTCACATTGGTGGTGACCACCTCACCGCTGCCCAGCTCATTGTTGGCCCATATACGAAACTCGTATGTGGTGTTGGGCGCCAGGCGATAGACCTCCATTTGACGCTGCGCCTCGGAAGTGATTATGTAGCGGAAATGATTCTTGTGAAATTTTCCCCCCCCAATTTGTTTTTATACAGAGATTGGGGGATGGGCGAATGCGCCCCCTACTCACCACATTGGGCGCTATATTAATGGGATCCATGCGACTCCATTCGTGCTCATAGCTGGCATTCGCCGGCGGCGTGCGGTACGAGACATTGCGATATTCGGCCGTAAAGCTGCGCACAGGATAGCCACCGGATTGAGTCTTATTGAAGCGCCATATCAGAAAGCCCAGTATGGTGGAGGCCTTGAAATAAAGCTGTGACACCGGGCCAGGTGTAGTGCGCACCGTCAGCTTGATACGTTGATAAGCCTGATACGCTTGCTCCACCACCTCCACCTCCTCTGCATTCGGCTCTTGCTCTCCCCGTTCCACTGCCAGCGTTTGCTGCTGCTGCTGTTGCGATGAGGTAGTTGCTGCTGTCGCTGGCATTGCTGTTGCTGTTGTGGATGTTGCTCTCGTTGTTGTCACTGGCAGCGTCGCAAAGCAGACATAGATGCCGCCATCCGAGGTACTCACATTACGCAACACCAATATACGACCCGTCTACGAAATGAAGGTGTTCGTCAAAACCAATTACCAAATTTTAATTGTTCTATAAGCTGCATAATCTCATTTCTACAGCGAAAGCAAAAAATTCAACTATTGTACAACAAGACGTAGCCACCTGTAGTCTGACTGTGGCTCTTAAATTGCAAAGCAAATCGATTTTCACGTCCCCTTATCTGAAACGGGCGTACTCGTATGCATACTAAGTTTCAAATCCTTAACTGCAAGACATAACACACGGATGTACAGCAAGTCGAAAATTAAACAAAACCCACATAAAGCGCTTTTTACCTTATATTAATTATGTTTATATTATTTATAAAACGAACACGAAAATATAGGGCTTCGGCTAAATATATTCATCCGCGCAGCAATAGTCGGATCTTGTGCAAGGCTCTGGTCTAACTGCAACTCGCGGTAATTTAACCTTACCTAACCCAACATAACATAACCTAACATAACATAACCCAACATAATATAACCTAACATAATCTAACATAACATAACAGAACACAGCCTTACCTAGCTCAACATTACTTAACCCAAAATAACCCAACATAATATAACCTAACATCACCTAACAGAACATAACATACAATGCATCGTACACATAAAACATTAATATATAAATTTGAATCCATTAAATTTTTGAATATAATCGTCTTGATAAACTCACCTGTATTATTGTGCTATTGCTGCCGTGTTCCTTGACCCACATAATATTGCCTTGGGCTATGCAGGGTATGCTAACATTTCCACCTTTGTCTGTCGCATATTCGTTGTACTTGATGGTGATACTAAGCACCGTTAGCACTGCAAAATAATGAATAGACAGATTGAAAAGAAAAGGAGGTTAAATATGGCGCATTAATGATATTTATAGGAAAATTACAAATAGCAAATTATTATCTCTATATATTAAACTGTTTGCCCTGACTGATTGACTGATTAACTCAAGTAATTAAGTGCATACCAATTCCACTCGCAAGTGTGGAAAATAGGTGGAAAAAGTTTATATACAATATGTTTGTTTAACCCCATGTCAAAGCTCGAAATTATTTTTTAAATCTGGCAAAAAAGGTATTTAAAACGTGTTTCTTCGCAGTAACTGGCGGGAAATTGATCTGTGTAAAAATGGCTTTTAAACAAATAAGAGAATAAGTAAGAGGTTTTAGTCGGGAGATGCCGACTAGGGGATACCCTGAACCCTCCACGAACGGACGGACAGACAGACGGACGGACATGGCTAGATCGACTCGGCTATTGATGCTGATCAAGAATATATATACTTTGTGGGGTCGGAGATGCTTCCTTCTGCCTGTTACATACATTTGGATACTATAAACCCTATATACCCTTATACCCATAAATAAAAGTATAAAGATTATTGGTACTTGAAAACATTTTGAGGATAATATTTTCGTTGGGTTTTACTATAAGATATTACAAAGTCGAGCTGCTATCGAGAGGGCGAATGCACTCCATCGGCTCCATCGGCATGCGCAATCAGAAGCCACTATGATTAATTAGCCAGATATAGCAATTTATATAAATATATAACATATATATATATATTTATAAGCAGGTGTTAACACTGCACCGACAGAGTTCAGTTAAGTGAATCATGGCCAGCCACACGGAACTCTTTCTGGCCGTCTACTTTCGGCTTTTGGCGCTCACGTGCAGCTCACGGAAGCGGACGGTCCAGCGGGTGCTGAGCGGCTATCTAGCGCTAATCCTGGGCGATATGGTAATACAGTTTTGGCATTACTTCGGCAACGGCTGGCAGATGACCAACCTGCAGCAGCCGCAGCGGCAACAGTTCAACGCCTATGCAAAGATCATTGATGCCATGAGTGTGGCCCATCTGCTGGCCCATATGCTGATGGTGCTGCAGGCGCTTGTGTTGCGGAATCGGGAGCGCAGGCTGTTGGCCCAGCTGCCGACAATGGGACCCCCGTCCACATTGATCAACGTGCGCCTCCATGCGACGCTGGAGTGCGCCCTAATCGGCTGCGCTTTCACAATGGGCACCTACCAGTCGCTGCAAAGCTATCAGCTGATGCCCAACTTGCGCTACTTCTACACCTCGCAGGCTGTTCGGGCGCGTTATCTGCAGATGGCACTGCTTGTTGTCCGGCTGGATGAGCAGCTGCTGGCACTGGAGCAACAGCTGGTGAGGGGACGACGCTCCAGTGTGGAGCTGCGTGCCAGCTATGCGCATATTGTGCGCCTGGCGCGCCAGCTCTCCCGCCTCTATGGGCTATCCGTGCTGATAATGAACGTGCTTTGCATTGGCGACTTTATTGTGGTGTGCTATGCCTATATTATACTCTGGCAGCTGACCAACATGAATATTAGCTGGCTGCTGCTCTGGGAGACCATATACGTGGTGCTGCCCACGCTGATCAAGATCTGTACGCTGTGCGCCGTCTGCGAGAAGTGTGCCAAGCGCGTAAGTTTCCCTTCTAGCCATAATATATATTAGTCCATTAGCAACCAATATAAACCTCAACTGTTCTGCCCGCAGTCGCAGCAGCTTCTGGTCGTGATCAGCAGCACTTGGCGCCAGGAGCCGGGAACGAGACCCGGACTCACACGCATACAAGCCGATGAATTCTCTCTACAGATAATGCAGAATTCCGTGCAGTTCGATATCTGCGGCATGTACCATCTATGTCTGAAGACCTTGGCCGGGGTAGGCTGCACTTAAGCCTTGGCTGTCTGTTCACTAGAGTTCACTGTACTTCACTGCTTGCAGATGTTTTTCTTCATACTCAACACGCTGGTCACTTTCCTTCAGTTCGTGCAGCTCACCAAGCAGCAGAGCAGCTGATATGGATTCGGAGATGCTGGAACCCAATTTGGTTTACTTCAGTTGCCACTTTAGACGGGATTTTCGATTTTTCCTTAGAAGTATTTGCAGACAACTAATACCCCTAATGTTTACGTTAACGTAAAGCTTTATTAAAGTCAAGGCTGGGAAGCCAACGAATGTAAAACATGATTCGGTTTAAGCCTCAAAACAATGCCTCGCCTTAAGGTTCGAGTAAAGCTCGTCTTATATATATGTATGTAAGGCCAGGTTTTGGTCATTTGTTCATATTTAGGGGACTAATATAAGTATATACATATATCTATAGCCAAAATATTTGTTATATATACACATTTGTATATTACATTACGCCAACTGTGCAAATATCTGCAGTCTTAATTTAAAACAAATAATTAAATAAAAGCAATTAGCGAACAAAAATTACTAGAAACAATAATGTTTTGTAGCTTAGGATTTCAATTCTCTTGCGATTTCAAATACACAACAAGTGCAAATAAAAACATGCAATTTGTATGACAGCTGTCGAAATTTATATTGATTGAAAACAAAAGAAGAATTAAAATAAATAAACTCGCATATTCATTTACAAAATTGCAGAGCGCGGATACATATGGGCAGCCGCCCAAGGCTCGCCGAAATTGTCAACTGGATAAAACATTTCGAGCGATTACAAAAAAATGTTGCCTGCTGCGGCACTTTGTCAATTGTGACATAATGTCATTTTATACGTTGAATAGCCCCAATCGATTAACAAAAAAAAAAAAAAAAACATGGTCAAAATGGCATTCCCAACGGACAGCAGTAACAAAAAGATTGTAGAGCTTTATCTGACGAACGGATGGATACTGAAAAAAGCGGATTGTTTTTTTTTAACTCTTCTAGGTTGAACACAAGAATCCATCACATTTTATTTAATTATACTTTATCAAGTTACATTTAAAGCCCATTTATTTTTAAGCAAGCTGCACAGCAAGCCGGCTCGAACCCAATTTAACGGCTCGAACCCTAAGCAAAAATAGCTGAGAGACGAACCGAAGACCGAACTAAACAGAATGACGTTAAGGAACTTGTAAGACATACGCAGGCCCATATGGCAAATTCTAACATATTTGATAGTTGTCAATTTATAGGGATAGGGATCACATTTTTGTCCATATCTTGATTAAGAAAATACGTACGGCTTGCCATATTTTCAGGATAACGGGCAGTTGTTTCATTCAAATGCTGTAAGTATATGTATGTGAAACTGAGGTTTGAACCAACGCCTTGGCTCGAGGCCGTGCGAAACCAGCTTTAAACGCACCCAACGGCAGAAATGTTAGGCTTATAGCCCTGACTTAAATTGAAAACTATAAAATTAAGTGCAACGATTTTGGTAATCTAAACTACCTACAGCAGATTTTATTCTGTAGTTAAATCTGTTACGGTCGCCAGTTTGTAAAGCTTAAAATCGAAATGCAAAACACGAGCTACGCATAATTTTGCCAACCACAATTGTCACAGTCAGTGCCCATCATTTCGAGTACATTTCAGTCACGTTTCCCGGTCTCTGTCTCTGGCCATTGAAAACAATTGACAAATGCCAGGCTACGCCCTAGGTGTATGTGTGTATGTGGTTTTATAAGCCCACACAGTAAAGGGACTGTGGCAAAAGGACATATCAGCATGTATCCCTTAACTAAGGTCTGTGCTGACTAAATAGACTGAACTCGTAGCCAATTTGATGCTTATTAAAATAAACCCAAAATAGAAAAAATGCTGCACTCAGCAAAATAATCGACATTAAACATAGCAGAAATTATCGCAGGAAATAGCAGAGAGAAATGAAAAAAGAGGTTCTTGTTGTTTTCTTTAATTCTTTGAGTGTATGTAGAATCTGTGGCGCAAATTTAGCTGCTGTGATTGATGTGGCTTATGATTGAAAGTTCGTTCAATTAATCAGTCAGTCGCTCAGTCAGTCGCTCAATCAAGTTGTGCCTGGCAAACATAATGTTGATAAAGCAGCGCACAGACAACGAACAGATACAAGTTTGCCCTGCATAGTAATAACAACTTTTGAATGTTTGATATGCATTCATCCAAAGAGGGGCAACACACATAACGAACACACACACAGATGCGCACACCGAGACACCCACACACACACACACACACACGCCGAAATGAAACTTGTAGCAAGCTGGGTCCGAGTTGGGGTTTCAGGCATAGCGCCAGATAAGGGCAACTCCTGCTCCGCTGCAGTGGGTTAAGGCAAAAAGGCTGACACACCCATTACCACTCACACACACACACACACACATACCATTATGTAATGTATTGTAATGCGCTGCTTAAAAGTATGCAATGGAAACTTTATATCGGCCCGCTGCTGACGTCACTTAATTGATTTCAACGGGTTGAGTCAGAACTTTGTAGAAATCGAACTAAGGTCAACTCGGTCTATTTAAACCCAAAGCCAATGAGTGGAATATCTGGCTAACCTATAGATGATTTCATTTGCTATACTAATTCGATATGTTAACGTATGTTGATTTGCCCAAAAAAGTGGGAGATAAAATGGTTGTGTTGCGTTCCTTTAAACGTACGTATAAAAATAAAACATATAAGAATAAAAAGTAATAAAAGAAAACTATAAATTAAGATCTGCTGGTATTATCAGCATTTTATAAAAATAATATATAATTGAACTTTATCATAATTAATATTTTTATTTATTTTCTTATAATTAATTTTATTGTAAACAGAGACATTTTGTTGCCAAAACTAGCTATAAAATAGCCAAATGTCAGCACTATTCACATGCAAGGCTGAGCTTAAAGAAGCAAAGTAGGAACAACATATATTCAAGCATTTAATCATGAACCAAAACAAGCCAAAGTCAAAAAGTTAACTGTGAAGTGTTCTGCTCTCAGCATACCCTGTGCGAACATTGAACAAGGGGGATCCACGTTAGAAGCACAGATTTAGTATAAAGATG